AGTCAAGCCCGGCAGTGTGATGTCAGCATCGACCTTCCTGGCTTTAGTTCCTGGCTTTGAATGGCCATCTTGCCTGGGCCTGTTCAAGGGCTGCCGGACTGCTGGCCCTCTACCTCTAGCCTTTGCACACTGGACCCTGTCATAGGCTCCTTGCCCCTTCCGGCCACTCCAGGCCCCTCTCGTCCACATTAGGGGAGGCTGGCCTCTACTGCTGTCTTCCTGTCTTGACAGAAATCAGAAATGAAGACTATCCTCCAAGAAGACCAAGGAAATTCCTATCTGCCTTCTGGGGTGGTCTAACTTTTTGGGTGGACCCCAAAGAATACTTTCTTCAGGTTTTTTTTTTTTTAAACCAGTGTTCCTGACAGGTGGTAGCTCTGAAATTACTGTCTGAAATAAGTTTGAGAAAGAGGAGGAGGCAGCCTGGGTAAGCCGCATCAAACACCTTTCACTCCCAGGCTCGCGGGACACGATCTTTCCTAACGGCACCTGTTAGGCATCACTGACTGAACCCCTAAAGCTGCACGAATCCTGGGGGGGGGTAAGGAAAGGAGAGCAAGTTCAGACAAGCCATATATGGCTTGTGACTTTCCACAATGAACAGTCCTGCTTCCTGTGGGTCGCTAACACCAACTTGCTCAGTACAGCACAATGATAGGAAAACGCTGAGCGTACAACAATAAAGCAAGGAATAAACAGCGCCCAGGTTTTTCTTTAAACCAACATATGTGGCTTGGTGGACTGTGGTGTTTTATTTATATTGCTATGCAACAGAGGAAAAAAAAAATAAAGGTGATTCCAGTGAGAAGCATGGGCATATGCTGTGCTATCTGATTATAGCGTCTGAGTTTAGACATGACAGATGTTGGGAGGGGTTCCAGGTTAGACATCAACCATGATAACAGAAATGAATTTAGTGGGGTTCATGGCCAGGCTTTACTTTTGTTTTTAAAAATGTAGTGGTGAATACAGTCAGCCGCCCTGGGCCAGGCAGTGCTGTGCTGGCTCTGGCAGGATCTAGCTGAATGTTTATAAGATCAGGAGCAGAGCCTAGGGAAACTTACTTAAACCAAGCTGCCAGAGGAGGCTGCAGATCCATTTGTCAAATTGCAGATCACAGAACACACCCGCCCCCACCTCCTTGCCTCCCTTCTGGTGAGTTCCTGATAGGAAAGAGAGTGTGGTCACCCAAGGGGACAAATTGCAGATCACAGAACACACCCGCCCCCACCTCCTTGCCTGCCTTCTGGTGAGTTCCTGATAGGAAAGAGAGTGTGGTCACTGAGGGGGACCTTATATCTCAGAAGGGCAGGCACCCGAGCCTGTGAAGGGGTGAGTGAATAAGACACTTGAAGTCACAGCGAAAGCCTAGCCTTCTAGGAAAACCAGCCCCCACCTTCTGCCCCTACCCCAAACTTCCCACAAACCCCTCCAACCAGGAAAAACAACTTCGGAAACTAGGGTGGGGCTTTTCTGGAATCAGGTTCCCTCAGTTATGGTGAAGGAAGATATCTAGATAATTTATCCCCAGTAATCACCTTCCCCTAAAGCATTATGTACTGGTTTCAGTTGGCCCTTTGCCTATGGTGGTGCAGGTCTAAGACTTGGGAAGGCCTCCTGTAATTGCTACTTTTCAGACACCCTCGGTCCCCACCCTCCCGTGAGTTGGGAGAGAGGAAGGCCCCATACCCCCGTCCTGGGCTCAGTCTGTGCAAACAAGGAAGAAATCAACAGCTAATGCACAGGAAGAGGTAGGATCAGTCCTCAGATCATTGATTATCATCAGTGCAAACTGGGAAGGCCATTTGTACCAAGTGCTCTAACCTGCAGATTCATTCATTCATTCTACACATGTTTACTGAATGCACCCTGCATGCCGGGCTCTGCTCTAGGCACTGGAGATATAACTGTGAACATAACGGAATAATAATAATAAAAAAAAGCCTGCTCTCAAAGTATTCCAAGTTCTAGTGGGGAAAATTGACAAGTACAAATTGAGAGGATAATGTGTAGTCATCCTAAAACAAAGACGAGCTGCAAGTCACTTTGCAAACATAGATGCTATTCCCCCAAATTAAGGGACTGAGGAAAGAGAGTTAACTTTTATTGAATGCTCCTATGTGCAGGCACTAATAACAATGTTTTTTTGAGCACTTACTATGTACTAGATTCATAAGAAGATGAGGTCAGGCTCTAACATAGTTCATTTTAATCTTCCTGACAACACTGTTATCCCAATTGTATAGATGAGCAAACAGACACCTAGAAGTAAGAGTGACTTACTCAAGCACACCCTGCTTGGGATCTCTGCACTCAAGCCTGACCCCTTTGTCAGATGGTAGTCACACTCAGCCTTGCGCTGTTCCTCTGCTGGTGGGTGGCCTGTCACCCCCTTTGCCTTACCCACCTTCATTCTACCAGTCCTCTGAGGTCCAGCTTAAACACCCTATTTTTCAGGACGACTGTCCGGACTCTTCAGTGTTGCTGTGATCCTTTCTCTGAACTTCTTTTTTTTTTTTTTTTTTTAAGATTTATTTATTCCAGAGAGAGGAAGAGAGAGAGAGAGAGCAAGGGGGAGGGTCAGAGAGAGAGGGAGAGAAAATCTCAAGCAGACTCCTTGCTGAGTGCTGAGCCTGATGTGGGGCTCAATCTCACCACTCTGAGATCATGACCTGAGTCCAAAATCAAGAGTCAGATGCTTAATTGACTGAGCCACACAGGTGCCCCACCTTTCTCTGAACTCCTTAATTAGATCATATACATAAAAGGTCATGTCTAACCCCAGTGGCTAACACATGGCAGACACTCATTGCTTTGTTCCTACTTCCCCTCTTTACTAGGCTTATGGCCAGAAGTGTGACATTTGTCACTTGATTATATACTTATTAACTTGTTGTTCTATATGCATTGGACTTATTTCCTTAACAACATTAGCAGCTTAAGGAACAGCATTTTATATTTACAAATTATATATACTTATTTATATTTACATATTATAAATTATCTTTATAATACTTATTTAATAGTTGTTTAACAGCGGTTCTCAAACTTGAGCAAGCATCAGAATTACCTGGGGGGCTTGCTAACGTAGATTATGGGTCCCTTCCCCAGAGTTCCTGCTTCAGCTGGCCTAGAATGGAGCTGCAAATGTGTATTTCTGACAAGTTCCCAGGAGATGCTGATGCTTCTTGTCCAGGAACCGCCGCTTAGGAGTGTAATGTGCCACAGTGCTTAGGACCACAGAGGCTGAGTCTGAGTCCCACCTCTGCCACACATTAGCTATGTGACTTTGGGCAAGTCAGCCTACGTGAGCCTCTGTTTCCTCATGTGTAAAAATGGGGATGACAATATTATATACATGAGCATTGTTGCGAGGATTAAGTGTAATAAGGAATCCAATGTGCTTAGCACTGTCCCTGACACACTGAAAACGTTCAATAAATGCTTCCCATGACCCCTGGAAAGGCTGGTACAACACCAGGCACTAAATAAGCACTGAACCCAGCCTGAGAAGTCCTTCTGGGGCTGATAGAAAACTTGTTTTGAATTTGTAAGCAGTGAGAGCGAAGGGTGTCCCTGAAGCATGACATCTATAATTAACAGCTTTTAAAATTAAGCCAGACTATTAAAAAGCACAACATAAAGGATCTTTAGAAATGTCCCTCCCTGTAGTATGCTAAGTATAAATGCCTGGTGTTAAAAAACCATGTGTGTTTTTAAAATTCAGGGGCTGTCATTGGGGTGCCTCCTTCATACCTTCCCCTGCTGAAGGATGCTGAGCATGGCAAGTTGTCTTTTGAGAGGTTAGGGTTGCTGGAGTCACCCAGGCATCTGGGCTAAAGGGTTGGCAGACACAAGCAGAGCCCATCATTCAATAATTAATTAGTTGCAGTCATGGGAAGACAAACTCCCTGGAGCAGATAGGACAATCACCATCCTCCTCTCTCCTGGTTGTTTCAAAGCACCCAGGCCACTGCTGCTCCCCACTAGCCTTAGGAACCTGTTCACCCAGCACAAGATTTATATTTTCCCCCAGGGTCTAACTGAGCAGTTATACTGACTGACAGTTTTCTTGAGAAAGCCCAAGAGGAATGTGCAGACAAGATAATTTTTAGACTTTGTCTGACAGTCCTCCAGGACCTGAGACAGGGTATCCAGAGATCTAGGGATGGTCTGGCCCTAACCTTGTCCCAATAATATAGGAGACAAGGGGCATGGCCCCTATCTCTCTGTGAACCACTAATCCGGGGAATGTTTGTTTGATGCAAACAAATGAGATCATCTGTGGTTATTTAGCGGAGGCTGTGGGCTAGGGACTGTGGGGAGATGTTGCTGCCCTTTGGAAGCCCCTCTCTGCTGTCCATCCGCTTCACGGAAGAGCACCACCACCTCCTCGCAGCCAGGTACCCTCCTCTAATACCCAGAATAAGGACGACACCTGCCCCCCATGCCATTTTCACTCCTACCCCCAATTTCCTTAAACAAAACCATCACCGCCAGGTGGTGTCTCCACACACGCCGTTTGGGGCACCACCCCTGGCAGCCCCCGCTCGGGCACAGGGGTTTCTCTCCCAGCGCCCTGGCCAGGCCCCGGCTGCAGTGGAGAAGCAAAGCGACAAGGGGTGAGTGCCCCGGAGGCAAAGCCGGGGGGGGGGGGGCGACTCCTCAGGAGGTGAGGTGAGGAGGGGTTGGTGTCCCCGCACCTGGAGTCACCAGCTGAGGCGGAGGTTCCTCAAAGGGAAGAGCCACAAGGTGTCCCCCCCTTCTCACCGTTTCTTGTTGCTCAATCTTTCCCTCCCTCTGCGCTCCCCCCCGCTCCATCCCTCCCGCTCTCTCTCCCCTCCCCCTCTTTGTCTGCCTCTTCCTCACCTCCGCCTTTTTGAACACCCAGCCTTCTGGAGCCCGGCTCGGACGCCGCAGTGGCCAGCTCCCCGGGGACCCCGGCCCCGCGCCCCCGCCCGGCCCCTCCCCTGCCCGGCCTGCCCGGCTCCGGGTCTCACCCAGAAGAGCAGGTTGAAGCCGAGCAGCAGGTACTTGATGCACCGCAGGCCCCCGCGGAAGCGCCCCATGCTGCGGCCCCGGCGGCGGGATCCCAAGTCCCCAGGCCCGCGCTCGAAGCGCGGGGAGCGGCGGGAGCCGGCGGGGAGGGGGCGGAGCGCGAGGGGCCGTGGGCGGGGCCTTCGGGGGGCGGGGCCCGGGCCGGGCGCGGGGCGGGAGCCGGCCCCGGGAGACCCCGAGAGGCTGGCTTGGGGTAGGGGCGCAGAGAGGGCGGAGATCCTGCGGCCGGAAGGACACGTCCCCCGCTCTGCCCCCGTAACGCTGGTGCGTCCACCCGCTGCAGGGCCCCGCGAGCGCAGCGCCCTCGGTGCTTCTCCGGGCATCTGCGGGGAAGGAGCGTCCGCTGGGGACCCGAGACCCATTTAATCAGCGCCCTGTGCAGAGACTAATTTGAGGCCTGCGGTGGCTGTACAGAATGAGGACGCGGCCCCGGTGGCTATGGAAACCTAGGAAGGTGGCCTCGGGTAGAAGAGCAAAGTGGGACCCGGGGTCGCCTTGAAGCTGGCAGCACCCGTCGCGGGGCACCCGGCCCGGGGCTGTGCTCCCCCGGCGCCGGACGAGCGCACAAGCCGCGGGGCCCCTTCTGGGGGACCCTCCGTCGGTCCCTCCCGCGCTCCTCCGGGAACTCTTACCTTAATAGGCTAGAAGTGGCAGAAGGCGCGGGATGCGGCTGCCCTGCGCCCTGACGGCAGCTCCCCACCCTGCTCCGCCCAGCCGGCAGAGGGGAGTCAGTCAGACCCCTCGGGTCCCGCTGCATTCGACTGATGGGAGGGCTTGGAAAGGAATTCAAATCCTCGGGGACTATTGTGATGTGGAGATGGGAGAAAATTGGGCGGGTTTTGTTTTGCTCTGTTTTATTAAGTTAGGCTGCTGGCTGGGAAACCAGGCTCCGGCTCCCATTGACTAAGTGTCTGCAATATGTGGTGCCAGACGGCGTGGGGGCGACGAGAAAGTGTAAAATCCAGGGATCTTATGCATCGATTCAGCAAACATTTAAGTGCTTATTATAAGCCAGGCATAGTAGCAAGCCCCAGGGACTCAAGAATGAGGAGAGAGCCAGGTCTGGTAGCATCATCTCTGAGCTGTAAGCACATAAATATAGCAGGGTGAGGAGGCTTGGGCAAGGTGCAGCCTGACTTCACCTCATTAGACAGAGAAGACTTTTCTGAGGAGAGTGGGCCTCACCTGGTCTCGGAGAAGGAGCACAGACCACAGGCAGTCCAGACAGAAGGGACAGTATGTGCAAAAGCACAGGGCTGGAGAGACCAAAGACCACCCCCTGGAACCAGGAGAAATGTAGTTAGCTCAAGTGAAGCAGACAGGAGGTGAGGCTGGGGGTTGTTGGGCATAGCTTTCAGCTGACAGAGGTGCAAAACTACCCTTGGGCCTCAGTTTCCTCATCTGCAACATGGAGATCATAGTACCTACTTCACAGAGTTGTGAAGATTAAGGAGTTACTATTTGTAGCGTGCCTAGAACCGTGCCTGGCACAGAATAAGTACTCTATAAAGCTTAGCTATTATCACATTGCACTCTATCAATCAACCAGTTTCTACCACTTTGCCATCTTTGCCTCCATCTGTGCTTTTAGACATTTGTTTGAATATCTAATGAATTTTATTTATGAAAATGAGTAGAAGACAGAAAAATGAAAGTGCTCATTCTGGTGATAAGAATAAGTCTTAAATAGTGCAATAGAGAAAAAGATGGAAGTCATTAAGTATGCTGAAAGAGGCAGATAGCTTCAGTCGAACAGCGTTCTAGATCTGTCATCTCTGTTCTATTATAAAGGAAAAAAAACTAAAGCATAGTGTTGGATACATAGTGGGCAGTCAATAAATTTCTGAACCGAATGAAGAACAATGATATTATACTTTAAATATATTGTTGAATTTTATGTCTCCAAGACAAAATGCATTTAGAGATGATATATTCTATAGTCTCTGGAAACAGAATCCCTACCATAACATGTAAATCTATTGTTCTTTCATACTACAGTTTTAGCACAAATGTATTAAAGACAGATGGCTGCCTGCCTAGCACAACAGGTTTGGATTTTGAGTATGGACTTCCCCAGCTCCTCCCTCTAGGAAGTTGTGTCTTAGGGGAGCTGATCCTTGACAGGACTGGAGCACTCTAACGAAGCATTTTCAAGAGTACATTATTAAGGAAACTGGGGGACTACATTACATGACATACTAAGGAAGTTAGCCCTTAAACTAGGTGTTATGCAAAGCCACAGACAAGATCCAGGCAGGGGATATGATGGTTAGATATCTATTTTTAGAATGGTCAACCTGGGGCCATGTGGAGGATGGTTTGAAGTTAAGACTTAAGACTAAGAGACTTAGTTAGAGCAGTTCAGGGAAGAAATGAGAACCTGAACCAAGACAGTGGCAGCAGGTGTGGGACGGAGGCTCCAATGTGAGAGAGATTCAAAGACTGAGAAAACATCAAGACAGTAGATATGAGGAGCAGAAGAGAAAGAGAGCTAAGGATGACTCCTGGGGCTCCTTACTTGGGTAAGATGGGGAGTATAGGAGGTGGAGCAGGTTTGGGGGAGAATATTACAGATACTGTAGGCAGGCTTACGCCATCACCCAATACTGCTTCGAATTTAGAGGATAGGGAAATTAAGTACTTGCCTCCTGGTTTCCTTTGCAGCTAGGGCGGCAGTTCTGATTAATGGGATTTGTGGGGAAGTCGGCTGGGAGGCTTCTGGAAAATCTGAAGCTGTGTTGATAAAAGTTCAGTTGTCACTGGCATAGCTCCCTTCCCCCTTTTCCTATCTTGAACTCAGATATGATGCCTGGAGCTGTAGAACACTTTGTGACTGTGAGGGAAGGGAATGGTAGACCTGCCAGCCAGGAGATCGTTGAGGCTGTTGAATCAACACCAGCAGCCACCTACCTCCAGATCTCTTGTTATGTAAGAAAAATCGCCCTCGTTTTGTTTGTTCTGTTCTGTTACTTGTAGCTGATGGTATTTCTAACTGACACAGGAAGACAATAAATTCATATTTGGATCTGTTGAGTTTTAGATCTGATGGGAAATCCAGATGGAGCAGTCCAGGAGACAGATGGAAAGATGATTGAGATTCTGGAGAGAGGTTTGGGCTGTAAGTTTAGGTTAGAGATTCATTAGCAAATGGTGGTGATAGAAGCCAGCGGGCTTCAAACTTTTGCGCACACATCCCTTAAAGAATTATGAGAAAATATATTCTTGTTTGTATACTTTCCCAATATTTTATTGTGAATATTTTCAAACATGCAGAAGAGTTGAAATAATTGAGCAGTGAACAACATAGACACACTACCTAGATTCTACTATAAACGTTTTGCTTTAGCTACATCTGTCCATTTGTCGATCTATCTTATTTTTTATACATTTCCAAATAAATTTTTGACACCAATTCATTTCATCCTTAAATTCTTCTGCATACATAACATGAACTAGAGTTCATATATTTGTTTATAGTTTTTCTTTTTTCTTGAGATAAAACTTACCTTAATGAAATGTAGACATCTTAAGTACACATTTGATGCTTGTTGACAGACACTTTTGCCTTTCTAACCTCAAACTCTGTTAAGGTATAGAACATTACTATCACCCCAGAAAGTTCCCTTGAATCCTTTTACAGTCGGTCTATGCCCCCATCCCTCCCAGAAGCAACCACTGTTCTGATTTTTTTCATGATAGATTAATTTTCCCTGTTCTGTAACATCATATAAATGGAATTGTACAGTATTAACCCTCATGTATTTTTCATTTGACATATAAAATTCTTTAACTTTTAAGTTTGCAAAAGATGTCATTTCTAATGTATTTTAATTTATTGACATTAAAAAAAATGGTCACATCCCTCATTTTAATGCACCCAGGAGAAACTTAGTGGCAGTGTGATCTGCTACCTACCATCATCCATTTCTCTTTATGTATCAGGTTTAGTGCTCAAAATGACAACAGGAAATTTTTGATCAAGGCTTGTAGATGGTGATCTCTCAATTTTTAAATATTTTCTCATTGATGAGAAACTTAACTCAAAATAATTTTTTATTGAGGGCGCCTGGGTGGCTCAGTTGGTTAAGCGACTGCCTTCGGCTCAGATCATGATCCTGGAGTCCCGGGATCGAGTCCCGCATCAGGCTCCCTGCTCGGCGGGGAGTCTGCTTCTCCCTCTGACCCTCTTCCCTCTCGTGCTCTCTATCTCTCAAATAAATAAATAAAATCTTTAAAAAAATAATTTTTTATTGAGGTGCAATGGATGTAGAACATTATATTAGTTTCAGGTGTACAACATAATGATTCACTATTTGTACATATTCATTCTCCATTTAAAAAATGTATAAATAAACGCCTCTTTACCAGAGTGAAAGTTTGACATCTTTTCTTTTTCTCCTTAAACTTGTATTTCCATTCCATCTTCCGTGAAATGTAATCCTAAAGTAATTTTTATGCTTGAAACATTTTTCTTGAATCTCCTTTTATACTTGTCTGAACAAATATTATTATATGTTTATTAAAAGAAATTTTGCCTCCTAAGACCCTAATGCTCTAAGTGTTAATTAATTTATTCTAGCTTGAGCTATCATTAAAATTATTAGTACACAATTGATTACTGATTAAAATAATAGTAGAGTTTAAATACATAATTATTAAACATAAAAGTAAAATATTATTGGAGCTGCATCTCTTAATGAGTTTGGTGGGGCTGAGATTTTTTTCTACTACTTCATGTATCCATGGGTGAATATTCTTTATTGCTAGAACAACACAGGGTTCAGCATAAATTCCCTTAATATTTTTCATTGCTTTGATCTTAATGCTGAGAAAAGTTGTTTAGATAACTAGGCGGATGAGGGTGGAAGAAGTCGTTATAGCAATGCCGATCAGTTCTTTAAACCCCTTCTGAATTATAAACCCCAATTCACAAGCGGATGTCTCATCAAAAACTATCATCAAATGATCAATAAGCTGACAACTCCATTTGGTCTTTCCTCAATTTTATTGAAAGCAGAGTTGGAATCCTTTTAAGTCA